CCCTTCCAACCAAACCATTCTATGATTCCACACCCAAGAAAATTGCCTGCAGAGCCAGGTTTTTGCAGACCTGCCCCAGTCCAGTGCACTTCGGCTCTCCCAGGCGGATGGAGCTTATCTGCAGTCGGAGGCAAGAGGGACATCGCCCACCACACTCCGCTCCTGCCGCAGGAGGATGTCTGGGGGGGGACTGGCAGCGCTGCTCCCCCTGGGAAATCCACCCAGACTGCTCGGACTGCTGTGGACATGCTCGTTGCCCTTTCGTCTTCCCCTCACCCTCGGCAAACCTCTTTGACATCTCTGCTGCTCTGGCATTTCCCTGAGTATTTTGACATTTCCAAATGAGCCAGTGTGCAAAAGCAGCCCTGGCTTTCCCAGCCCCCCCATCCACCTCATCCTGGTGCCCACCCACCCTCCTGAGAGATGATCTGACTGCCTCAAACAGGGCAGAGGAAGAAAAAAAAATTAAGCACAGCAATGAGCCTTTGCACAGCTACAGATGATATCGGCAAGTCCCACGTGAGAGGCTGTGAACCTTTACTCCCAGGGGAAGAAAAAGTTTTGAAGCAACACAGATACTCAGCCAAGACCAGGTCAGCGGCAGGGGAGAAAAGGGGTACCAGTCAACCTCAGCTGCACGGCTGTAGGTGAGGGGAGAGAGCTTTCTACACGTAATCCCTGGACATCTGCAAGTCAAGGACAGCTCTGAGAATGCTCCTCAGAGGTGTTTTCTGGGCTGGGAAAGCAGGTGCCACTTGCACCAGGAATTGCAGCAGCAGTTTGCATTTAGCTCCAGCAATCCATGCACAGAACATCAGACTGCTCCTACGCCCAGCTTCGAGGCGCCTGGCTCAGAAGAAAGCAGAAGCAGCGTGGAGGAGACATCGCAGGTTCTTCTCTCGTGGCCAGCTGTGGGCTGCTGCAGGAGTCCCTGTGAGGACACACAGGCACCTCTGCGCCTCCTCCAGCAGCACGGGGCAAGCACAGCAGCTGAGGAGCTCTCTGTGCCCTGCAGATCTGCATCTGCCCAGGAAGCTACATCTTTCCTACCCACCCCAGGCAGACCCCTACATTTACAGATCCTACACCCACCACCTCCCAAGTCCAGACCAGCAGCCTTGCTCCACCTCCAGAGTACTTCTGCCTCCTCAATAGCACTTAACTTCAGTACAGCAAGGCTGATTCAGAGGAATATTTTATTGTCATCCCCACCCTTCAGGGAGGCAGAACAGCATGAAGGACCAGACACCAGAGCTCAGCCGAGGACCTTGAACAAGCACAGCCAACCCAGCACATAGCCACAGGGTGGAAACAGACGTGAGGGAGTTCCTACATCGGAGCAAAGATAATATTGACCCTCCCAGGATGGCAAGGAAATAACTGCCTTCGTCAGCAGCTGAAAGTAGAGGCAGGTAGCAAGGTCCAACCACATAACTCCTGCAGAGCACTTACTGGGGTGCACAACCAGTTTGAACAGACAGACCTAAGTTACCTATGGCAGCTCCTCTGGAGCAGTCCAAGCCATGTCCCCTCAGGGAGCAGTCACAGGGACCCCCGCCCACGGCTTCCATGGCCCCCAGCTCCCCCCAGGAGCATCACAAGGGCCAGAGGCAGCAGGACCAGGGCAGGCCATGGCAGAGCACACACGGCTTTGTCGGTCTCAGGAGTCACGTTCTCCATCCAAGCAGGGGAGGATCTCTTTTTCCAAGCATAGTACTTCGCCACAACCACATTGGGGTTTCCATGGGCAGGGTCAAACCACATCTGGATGCAGCGCCCGCTGCCCCGGTGCTCTGTGGTGTATTTGTAGGAGTTGGACCAGATTTTCTCACACAGGTCTTTTGGTTGGGGGAAGACATGGCTGAAGGGTCTGCACATGGAGCCCCAGGGACAGCGATTCGTTCCTGAAGACAGACAGCACCGCAAAAGAAAACAACATGAGCTAGCACACTTCACTCATGTCCTTTCACCTGGGAGGAGCAGGCCACCTGCCCACAGCCCATGGCTGCATCTTAGCTGATGGATGGTGGCTTGGCCACCTTCTCATTGGCAACCCTACAGACAGGTGAGAGCAATTGGGGGTCTCGGCTCCAGCCACCAGGCAGGCAGCTGTGACACTGCCAGGGGCTTGCCTGCAGAGGTGAGGAGAGGTTTGCCCCACAGAGCCCACCAACCTGTTGCCCAGTTCCAGCCCTTGTGCCAGTTCTCCTTGCAGGTGACATAGTCCTTGCAGTCCTCCCACCACTCCTCGCAGTCCTCTTTGCAGAGTGGCACATGAAGAATCCTCTCCCGACGCCAGCTGCTGTCAGCCTGCAAGGGAACAGGACAGCGCACATGGGCGGTGGTCCTTGCAGACTTCAGGGGCAGGATCTGCCACATCGCAGATTTGCCCCCCAGCCTGTTCCATTGGGCTCCAGAGCTGATCTCAGAAGAGATTCAGCCCCAGCAGAGACATGCCTTGACAACAAGCAGTTCCTCCATCAGCCTGCCTGGCTACCTAAGCAGAGGCTAGCAAAGTCCTTTGAATCTTTCCACCCAGTAGGAAAGTTCGCAGTGCCCCTAGAAAGCGCTCTGCCACACATGCCAGGGGTAACTCTATAGGGGACCAGCACACAACACATCATGTGGCCAGCCCAAGCCCTGTTGTCTTAATCACAGCAGATCTGATCCTACCTGGTCAATCCAGGGCCCCAAGTTGGGAGAGCACTCATACAAGCATGTGTCCTGGATGAAGTGGCGCTTGCACTTGGTTGGCATCAGCCCACAATGGTTCCAGTTGAAGTTGTACAGGTTGGATTGGTCCTTGTGGGCTTCTGAACTGGTGTTGGCTGTGCAACAGGCGTTATCCTTCCAGGGAGCACACTACAACAGAGCAAGAGACAGGCAGGGCAGGCAGCAGCTCGAGGGAGTCAGAGGATGCTGCAGGTGCCAGCTCCCTGCATAGCCTACAGCAAGAAGCCTTCAGGTGTCCTCCGGCAAACCCTTAGGCACTTTGGACTGAAGAGTCCAGGGCTGCAGCAAGGTGGAGCTGAAGGAAGAGCAGGAGGAGGAGGAGGTCAGATCCTCACTGGGAATTAGTGCCAGCCTGAGGAACAGAAACACACTCCCTTCTCTTGCACCCTGGGTTGCTCTTAGCCCTATCTCCACCAAGGGCCCAGGAGCAGAGCTCCTCAATTAGCAAGAAGAGTCTCCAACACAGAGGGAGCTGATTAGAGTGTCTTTCCTTGCTGTCCTTTACCTTGTTACGATCTGGGGTACCCAAGCTTTGGGAAGGGGAGGCCTCCTGGTTAAAGAGGGGTGACACTGAGCTAACAGAAATCCTCACATCTGCCCCAGCCATTTGCTAGAAGAAAACTGCAAGCAAACAGGTCTCATACCAAGCACAGGCTTTCTTCTTCAGGCAAGTGGTTGTGAAGCCCAAAGCACAAACTAGCCTATATCATCTGGGGAGGGAGGTGCAGGGGACCCAGGCAATCCCACCTAACACATCAGCAGAGCGATACCTGGTCATGCAGCATCCCTTCTGGGCCAGGCTGGGTTTTGTGGTGCTTGGCATCCATACAGATGTTCAGCAACGGGTCCTTTGCAGGCATCACCGTGGAGGCAGCCAGCAGCACAAGCAGCACTTGCCCCACTCCCATCCCCACAGCCAGCCCAGTCAGGTTGGGGAGGTGATGGAGCTGCACAGAAAGGGGACAGCACAGGAGGGGTTTTGCCACAAGCAGCAGTAAATGAGGTGCCGTGTAGGCAAGGCACTCCTGAGGACACACCAGCAAACCATCAGCAATTCACAGCACCAAGGACACCAGTGCAGCCCTCCCCAAGCAAGGCTGCAAGGTCAGCTACACGTTATGCTCCGGATAACATCACATCGTATCAAACAGCCCTTTAGCACTTGGGCTGTTCAACAGTTAACCTCAAACATGCCTGATCAGAAGGGGGATGCTGTGAGCCCCCTTCAAATTGGGGTCCTTTTGCATTAAGCCCCCCCACTGTTTCAATGCAGAGCTTGCAGCTCCCAAACCCCCTGCAATTAGACATCGCTAGTTAAGGGGTCTCTTTAGCTAGCAGTTCAGAGGAGGTAGTTAAAGGCACTAACACACTGACACCTTGTGCAGACCACAAGCTGCAGGAGGCCCACCTTGATTCCAGGAGCATGGTAAGAGAGGAAGGCATTTTCTTTGGTTTATCTGTGTCTGGGCCCTTAGAGACCCACACCTGAGGTCTCCAAATAAGACCTGACTTAAGCAATAAAAGACACTTCACATAATCATGCCCTAGCCTCCTCTGCCCACCTAGAGGCTAATGGGACTTCTATAGTCATTCACTAAAAAAAGCCCCATCCAACCCCAAAAACCCAAGAAACACCTCCCAAAACCAAACACACACACCACAGTACTCCTTCACATTCCTTATCAATACAGCATAAGAGTTTAAAAAAATCACCTTCCTTTTAAGAAGCATTTTACAAAACACAGGAGCAAGACAAACCATTTACAGCATTGAAATAGCATAAAACAACACAGAAAGCAGCAATTGCAGAGCTAAGGAAACATATACATAAACCTGAGGGCTAGAAAGCAGCTTGAACTTGCATCATAACCATGTACATAAACACACCACCACCACCAAACCCCAGCTATCACCCTTACCAGCCAGAGAGCCCCCAACCCCTCTGTAGCACCACAGAAGCCCCCAGCACAGCACCTTCCTGGGGTCAGCTTTAATAGGAACGCATTCGAACACAGGTGCTGGCACTTGAGAGTACCCTCCTAACATGTTTAACGAGGTTTAACTTCTGCCAGCCTTTGTTACCTTAGAAGCAGTTGTTTTGGTGACAACCAGCTTGTCCAGCCTCTTTCACAAGCAACACCCTCTTGCCTGGGAAACAATCTAGTGTTTTTTTTCGCAAGGCACGTCTCTTATCAGCCTTGGCCTCATAACAAGCCCTTTTTCCTCCACTTGCCTTGCACCAGGCAGTTTTGATTTGCACCATTGCATGAGACAAAAAAGCCAGGGAGGGACAGATCCAGGATTCTGCCGTGCACCAAGAATAAATCCAAAAGGGCTAACGCTCATCACAAAAAAATGACGTGCGGGAATAAGTGCCATTGTCTCAGAAGGAAGGATAATAACTCCCAACACACACAAAAATGCTAGCTGACAAGGGGAAACGCTGCACCTTGTTGCAAAAACCTGAGAATAATAATGAAGCTAAAAGCTGGGGTTTTCTCACAAGACCTCTTGGAAAGCCCTCAGCATCAGCAAAGGGGCAGAGTCTTCCTGCTGGAACAGCACAGGTTTTGAGGCTGTTTTGCTCTTTCTTCAATCACATCAGTGACATTTTGGTGATGAACCCACTTGCCTAAGGAGCTCATCTTCCTAAATCTAATGCGTGAACGCTTTAGGCTCTAGGAGACCCTGCTTCAGTGATTTCCACAGTCTGATGACACACCGCATGAATAATGACCCCTGTATGTTCGCTCTGAACCAGACGCGTGCTGTTTTAATTTCTGGTGCTTCTAGCTCTCGTATTGGAAGTGCCAATGAGCAGATCTTCCCCCACTCATCTTTGAGCCCTTGCCACCTCTGTCATCTCCCCTCCGTTGCCTCTTTCCAGCTGAAGCCACTCTCTGCTCACTCGTTTCCCGTGACAAGTGTGTTTCTCCCCGAGGCATCAGGACTGCAGTAGTATTTCAGATGCACAACGCTGTCCTGGCCTTGTTTTCTGGTCCTTGTCTAGGAATTTCTAATATCTAGCTTGTTTTTGGAACTGCTGATCACTGAACTGTGTTGTCGTAACACTATCATAACTGTCACAGCTTGTTCCTGAGAGACAATTGTTAGACACCAGCCTGTCATTTTCTATCTGAAGCGTTCTGTTTTTTCCCCAACTGCATCACTGTAGGTTTATCTCAACTGCTTTTGGTTTTTTTATCTGTTGTTTCATTGTTCGGTGACTCAGTCCTGTCAGGGTCTTCTGCAGATTTTCGCAGCTGGTCTCCCTGTTCCTGGAGTAATTTAATATTATCAGAAACTTGGTTGCCGTGCTGTTTTCCTCTTCCTTTCCCAGACAAAATTTGCTGAAAAGTGGAAATCCCAGTACAGATTCCTGTACGGGTTCACTGTAGAGGATAGCCATGCACCTTTATTTAATGATTCAGTTATTCAGTGGTGTGTGAAACTTTACCCTCATTCCATGGCTGCTTGTTTGATGACCTTTGGTGCAGACCTTGCCCAGAGCCCTTGGGAATCCAGGCAGACTCTATCACCCGGATCTGCCCCGGCCAGAATCCTTTCCAGCCCTTGGAGGACCTGCAATATGTTAGGGAGTCTTGTCTGCATGTTAGAAGAGCCGTACTGACCCTTTCCCCATACGGCATACTTATCCACATGCCTGTGGATTCAGCCCTTTACTACATTTTCTGCAACCTTTTCCCACACCGATACCATGTTCATGGCTGTGCAGATCCCTTGATCTCTCCAGAAAACCCTTTAAGGTCTCACGTGAACGTGTAGACCATGTCCTTGCAGGGTGTACTTGTACACGTGACGGTACAGAAAATGGGGAAATGCTCTCCCTCTCCCTGCAGTCCTGCCCATGCCCTTGTACTTAATGGGATGGGGGGGTGGCTGGGGCCATCCACATTTTCTCCATCCAACTGATTTGCCTTGTGCAACCTGTCTCCAGGGTCTGGGATTGAATTGCTTTGGATGTTTCTTCCCTGAGGTCAGGTTTGGGTGAGCAACTGCTGGGTAACTACTTTAGGGTGTGCTGAGTGCCTCTGGGCACCCCAGGGTCTGCATCAGCCAGGAGCTCAATGCACTTGCCTACGCATCACTGCTTAGTGCCACTGCGGATCACAGGTCTCATCGGAGATGCCTGACGGTGTCCCACATGGCTTCCCACTGCCACTGCTACAAAGGGCCGTGTGTGTCGTTATGATCAGAGTCTCATTTACGGGCAAAAAGCAAATGCACTTTATGTATAAAGCCAATAATTAATTGTTAATGTAACTGAAAACACGCTAATACAAGAATCATTGTCAGTCCAGATCCAGTTATAATACAGAAAAAGAAAGAAGTGAATATTTCTATACAAAAAAAGTAGCAGTGGTACTAGTAATAGTTGTAATAATGATGATGATGATGATTGTTATACACACACTTCCCAATTTCTACCTCTTCCCTGGGGTCTTGCTCACCCTTTCACTGCTCCTCTGGGTCCTGAGGTTGATGACTTCAGTTTGGTGGTGGTGGGTGTTGCATCAAGTCATCAAAACCTAGAGTCCTTCACAGGGAGGAGTATGATATTGATGTTCATGGCTTCTTCTTCCTCACTCTAGAGTCCACTTTGAGTCTTTCTTATGTTTGATAACATGCTTTCACATCTTGCTTTCTTTTCACTGGTCTGCAAGTCCATGATACATGCAGATTTCCTAAATATGGTGCATTTTATGCATGTTAGATACTTGTTCCTTGCTCTTCTTGTCACCTCGAAACTGTTTTTGTCCAGCTCCAAGCCTGCATTTCTTGAACTAACCATTCCTGAGCTGTTTGTGGCCATGAGGTCTCCAGTGCCAGCCTGTCCCCCATCCCTTACCACCTCATGCCTGCACTCCTCTGTGCTGCATCCCCACTTCTCAAGGCCCCTGCCATCCTGCCAGACTTGTATTTCTCAGCACGACACCATTATGTTGGAGTCTTCGGTATCTCATTTGGCACAGAATAGCTGCTTTTCACTACTATCCGCATAAAACTGAAACTCTGGTTGCGCTATACAATGGTAAGCAAAAAACCCATAGCCATAGTCAGAATACAAATTGCCATTACTGCTAAATCTGGTAAAAACAAAGCTCCAGGCAGGTCAGGACAAGTTCAAAGAGAGCAATCCTGGCACGCCTCAGTCCTGAGATCTTGCAAACTCAGTACAAAGCCTGTGGCCAGCAGTGGCCATGCCGTGGTCCTGGGCTATGGGGTCAGTGTGCAGGACCTGTGCCACAGCTGCCTGGTCAGGTGGATGCTGAGGACATCTTGAACAGGACTCAGCACCAGCGGGGGGCAACCAAGCTGAGCCCTGGATTGTCACCCACCGCTGGGGTCTGGGACACCCCGTGCAGACGAGGACCCTTGCAGAGAGAAACCCACCACCAGCACAAGGAGACACCTCCACAGAGGGATCCATGTTTAACCATCTCACGCTGGAGCTGCATCCTGGTCCTGGAGTCCTTGAGGAGTGAATCAGTGTTTGGCTACAAGAGGAGCAGAGATACCCTTAGGGTCCCTGAGAGAACATCTAATGTTTTCTTCCTTTCCCTGAAAAAATTGGTTAAAATGCACTTTAAAAGTTAGTGTAAGCAGGGGATTTCTTGATGCACATAGAAGGAAAGGGAAAAAAGGTGATATATTTTACATTGGACAGATATTGTCGCTTCAGACTTTTCATTTCGAATACTTAATTGTTCCATCCATCAAAAATCTTGTTGTCTAAAAAAACTTAGGATTTTGAACGTGGTTGTTAAAACTGGAATCGGAGATTACACGACACAACTCTTGGATCACTTTGGTCTTGTCACAGGGAATAAGAAGTTTGCTGGGCCCCTGCACGCCGGAGCAGCTTGGTGAACTGCTCAGGTCGGTG